AAACTTCTCAGCCAGGCACTTATAATCCTGTATATCCAGTCCTACCTCCAAACTATCTTTCTAGCCTTATTTCAGACTCTTCCCTTTCACTCATTCTATATTTCAGTGGATTACTAGCTTTTCCCTCAAACTGCTCTCTCCTCCTTTGTACCCAACTATTCCTCAGGCCTAGAACACATTCTCTTCACTATGTTCTCCTGTTCTTTCAAATCGAAGCTTGAGTATCACCTCTTCCATGAAGCTTTCCCTGATCCCTCCAAACAAAAGGGATCTTCTCTTCTCAGAATTTCCTAGACTACTTTATCTGGATTTCTCCTTTGTCCTTGTCACATTTCACCTTGTGTCACACTTATTTTGCACACATGTTATATTTCCACTATCAGAGCGGCATAAGCTCCTTAAGGCTAGAGACTCTACAGGTGGGTTTGGGGTTTTTTTGCAACTTTATACCCCTAGTGGCTACTATAGGGCCTTGCACATCATAAGCATTCTATGTTTGTTAAATAAAATTGAATCAAATTACTCTTTGTCAGAGTAAATAGCCTGGAATTTCTCTTTTCCCTGGCCTGACATGTTACCACATTCAAGTGCTGGTAGCAATAAATTGGTTTTCCTGCAGCCACTTTCTCCCATTGGTGAGTTTTTTCCCAGGACCTCCATTTTGAGGAAAAAGCCCAAACCAGATGTGCTTCACGAAGCCAACTTTACCATTCAGAAGCCTCTGACGTTGCCTTGTCCCATTGGTGAGCGCCTCCCAGAACCACCTTGTCCATTTTACCATTGAAACATCTCTTATGTACCTCAGCTTCTTTCCTCTGACACTGCCACCACTCTGGTGCAGACCCTCATTACCTCACACTTGGTCTGTTGCAATAGTCTTCTGGTTTGGTATCCATGCCTCAAGTTTCTCCCTACTCCAATCCATTTTCCACTCAACTGTTAAGTGGAACAGCTTCTAAGAGGAGAAGAGAAGGGAATAAGCATTTACATAGTGCCTATTTTGTGCCAGACACTATGCTAAGCACTTTATAAATATTACCTCATTTGATTCCTAAAGCACACATCTGATCCACCACCCCATGTCACACACCGCCTATTCAATAAATTTCAGTGGCTCCCTATAATTATAAAATATGAAATCCTTCTTGTCATTCAACCTGCTCCTTTCCAGTCTTCTCAACCCAGTGAAGAGACATTCTATCTCCAGACTCTGGGCATTTTCATTGGGTGTCTCCCATCCTCCCTAGCTTCCCTGAAGTCCCAGCTGTAATCCTACCTTTTACAAGAAGTTTTTCCTGATTCTGTTTAATTCTAGTGCCTTCCCTATGTTGATTATCTCCAGGTTTTACCACATACACACACACACACACACACACACACACACACACACACACACACACACATTTTTACAGTTATATTCGTGTTCTGTCCCTCATTAGACTGTGAGCCCCTCAAGAGCATGGATTGTCTTTTGTCTTTCTTTGTATCCTCAGTACTTAGCACAGTGCTTAGCATATCATAAGCTAGGCATTTAATAAATGCTTATTAACTGACTGACTAGCCATGCTTCACTCCATGCCCCACCCCGGCTTTTCAGCTCCCTTTAAAGCATTGTCTTCCCCTGTTAGAATGTAAGCTCCTTAAGAGTGAGGGCCAACTCCAGTCATCCTGATCTATAGCTTGCCACTGGACCCAGAAGGCTCTGGAGGACAGAGTGAGGCTGATGCCCTTGCATAGCCCTCCCTCACTTAAATCCAATTCATTTGCAAGTCATAGCATCACCTTACTGAGGTCATGCTCCTCTTCGAGAAAAAAGGACAAACAATAACAACAATCTTGAGAGGAGGGATTGTCCAAAAGTTGTTTGCCTTTGGGAAATGGTGAGATGCCCCTCATTGGAGGCTGTTAACCAAGGATGACCATTTTTGGGGGATATTTTATAAAGAATTCCTAGACAGGTATAGTTTTGACTAGATGGTCTTTGAGACCCCTATAGCTCTGAGATTCTGCAAATATGTGAGGTGGAGAAGTCAGATGGTGGGTTCTTTCACCTACTCATTTTTTAATAATAGAAGATTGTCTTGGGAGTGAACACTGCTTGCCAAACCAAAGTTCTTTGAGTTCCATGGGTTAAAAAAAAGAGACTATGTACTGTAATAAGTTAATGATTATGTTTTTATTTTTCTCTCTGAAAAGTAATGTGTTAGAAAGAAAAACAAACCAGAAGTCAACCAAGCATAAATGAATGTAACTCATCTATTTTGCTGAATGTGGTTGCCAGAGCACTAACAAAGTGTCTGTGGTTTTAAATGAAACTTCTTCATCCAAAGCTAATCATGTTATCTTGATCAGTAGTCCTCTATTTAATGAGTTTGTACTGTGGAGCTGATGATGTAATTTAAGAGTAATTTATTGAAGGCCCTCCTTAAGATGGACCCAACCTATTCTTACAACCTTATCTCCCCGAACATTTTGTACTCTGGACCACCTGGATCACTCACACACAGTTCCTTAATGCCCACTCTGTGTTTTCTTGTACCTATACCCTTTGCTCATGCTGTTCCCTTTATCTGCAGTATCTTCCCCTTGTCAAAAATTCATTCATCATTCAATGCTCAGCTTAGATGCTATCTCTTTATTAAAGTCTTCCTTTGATACTTCAACTTGATGCAATATGTTTTTCTTCCTCTGAATCATCCTATTGTAGTGGATATGCTCTCTGGTCTCCCTATCCCAGAACCAGGCTGACTTCATCTTCCCCTAGAGTCCTGGGTGTACTCCTGGGCTGTTGGATGTCTCCTTTTTAATGCTATGGGCTCACGCCTTTGTCTTCCCATAATTAGTCATCAGTAATGAACACCCCAGTTCCATTTAATCAATTAACCATCAGTTAGCTTTTACAAAGTGATATTTCCTTTGAAGATATGGCAGGAACAGAAATATAAACATTTCCTCTTCCTAACGCCTACTGAGTCTCTGGGGCCAGTAAGTGGGCTCAGATTTATCACAGTTTCTACATACCATTGGTCCCACCAAATTTATGTCCAGATAGGACATTGCTGACAGTTGAGTCCTCATCTCAGCTACCAGTGGCATGGGTCCTCAAAGTCGTTCCTTGATCCTTGGGGAATTAATAAAAAGCTGACTGCAAAACCTAGCATAGAATCAACTCCCAGACCCGTGAACTCCAGGATTCCAGACTGCTCTGACCTTTCAAACTCAACAATGTTGTGGCCAACAGATTAATCTCATTTACCTAAAATGAAGAAACTCTTATGGAATAGCTACACATCTCCCAAGTCTCTCCAAGGCACATTCATTACATACTATTGTCTCCCTCAGAATCAGGCTCCCCAGACTCTTCCATATGGAGAATTGTATCAGTGAGATTTCGTGCTCTTGTTACACTAGCAATCTGCCTGTACCTCTCTTTTAGTATGGTACTGTCACCTGGCTTAGCTACTGAGAAACTGTGGAAGAGCCTCTAGTTCATGGACTCCTAATAGTTCTCCGGACCTTGGAGGATTAGAAGGATGTAGTATAGTCTATTCTGTCTCTGATATTCCACTTAAGAGCAGAAAAGAGCAAATGCAAAGAGGAAAAGAAGCAGAGTACCATATTCATGGACACTTATCACTCTGGGTGGAGAAATAGGCAGCTGGTAGCAGGAGGCTGCAGGGCAGTTGGGGGTGCAGTGGATAGGGTGTCTGCCCTGGAGTTAAAAATGCTTATCTTCCTGAGTTCAAATCTAGCCTCAGATACTTACTAGTTATATGACCCTGGGCAAGTCATGTAACCCTATTTGACTCAGTTTTCTCATCTGTAAAATGAATTAGAGAAAGAAATGGCAAACCATTCTAGTATCTTTGATAAGAAAACCCCAAATAGAGTCACAAAGTGTTAGATGTGACTTAACATAGCAGGAGGCTGCTGTCACCACTACTACTACCTGTTTCCCCACCTGGAGCCTTACAGCTCTTACTGCCTCACTCACCACCAAGAAAGAGTGTGATTTACAAGACTGCTGTCTTCTGCATCTCACAGTATTCTGGCTCAGGAGCAAGAATCAGTCATAGAATACCTATGCATGCTCTGAAGTTGAGACCAAGACCCTTCCACTATACATTAGCATGAGCTCCCAGAAGCAGGCTCACCAACCATATCTACATGGTTTGGCAGCAGGCAGAGTCTGGTGTGCAGGATCTGAGAATGGGCTCCAAATTGTCAGCCTCACTACATTTGTGCATTTGGCTTTGAATTAATCTGTCACATGACATGGTCTGGTACATAGAGATACATTGGTGGTTGTGGTGGTGGAGATGGTACAGAACTCTGACTGTGAAACCATGAACCTGAGCATAGCTGAAGGGGGAAGGGCTACATTGAAGGAGAATAGGCATTTGTCTACTTGCCTTAGGCATCTAGACCGTAAACCCCCTGAGGGGCTCTCAATAATCTTTACATCCTTTGTGGAGCCCTACATAGTTCCCTGTTCACAGGAGATACCATATGTGTATATGTGTGAGTAGATAAATAGGTAAATAGATTGATAAATAGAAAGAATTATTTAAGGTGGAAACAAAAAAAGCCTTCAGATTTGTAAATGTTACATGGTAACTTGTAAAAGTATGTGAGTGTGTGTTTTAAAATAAGTTCCAATGGTGCTTTTTGTATCTACATCACAGTCATTTCTGGATGTACACAATACCACACAATACCCCCTGAAATGGAACCTTCCCTTGTAGCAAAGAGAAACAGCCAAGCAAGACGTCGGATGCAGCAGCTATGTCTGACAATGTATGCAACATTCTGTCCACGGCCCCCACTTCTCTGCTAGGCAGTTTTGCTTCGTTTTTATTCTCTGGAACCATTATTGTTTTTTCATTTGGCTTCAAAACAATGGTGTTTTCTTTTAAAAAAAATATTGAATTGGAGTTTAATGGTTTATTTAAAAGGACATTTAAGTTTCTAAAAAAAACTTTTGTTTCCTTCTCTTTCAGGAAATTGAAATTACAATGAGAAATATCAGGACTCACCACTTTGGCCATGGGTGCATTTTTACATCTTTGATCTGGACTTTGTTGCTCTTTATTTATTTGAATTATATCGAAGTGAACCAACTTCTCAAGAATGTGCCCCTCAAAGGTGCTGGACCCTATCAGCCGTTTTCTACAAAATTCTCTTCCAATTTTGCCAATAACTCAAAGCAAATAAGACCACAGTTAAAAACCAAAAAAGTTGAGAATAAGTTAGATCAGAATATTAAAGCCACAAATAACATAATGATTTCTCCTAAACTGGGTAAGTGGATTTAACTTCCATTATTAGCTATTTTGAGAGTATAATTTAATCATTGGAAGATTTAGGAAAAAATACTTTTCTAAATTGTATTTTCAATGTTGCTTAGGAGTTTATCCTTTTGATCACAGTAAAAACTCATCTTGCCTTTCTAAAAATTAGATTTCATATTCTCCATTATATGACTGCATTTCTATGATTTTATATAGTCATCATGAAGTAGTTCTTCCATGCTTCTCATACTCTAATTAGAGAATTGTGTCCCATTCTGGTCTTGATATTTGATGAATGGTAATATGTCCATTGACCCTAATATACTTGACTTCTCCCTTCCTACATTCTAGAGAGTAGGGAGGCAAGCTGATACTACTCATAACAATTGTCCAACAAGGAGTGCATGGGGAGCAGAGAGGGAAACAGACCTAGAACCCTGGCCTTTACCTTAACATTCCAAAAAGTTCCTAACAAGGTGGGATTAACAGATTGGCTCTTTTCAACTACTAAGAATCTCCTCTTGGCCTGTTTTGTTTTCCATTTGCTGAGTGGTTGCTTTGGCTTACAATTTTAATTTTTATTTTGGCTCCCGTATTGCTCCAGACAAGCTCTGGCTTCTGGCAATCAACTCATTCTAGGGCTGGGCAAGGAGATATTTCAGCTGTCACCCTGGAAGACTACCAACAGCCTCACATGGCAAATGCCAGCCTGGCCCTTACTGGATGAGGAGAAACTAATAAGAATTTAGAGGGAAAAAAATCAAAATCAATAAAAGGGATAGAAAAGAGAATTGTTTTGAGGAAAGATGACTTAATGACTTTTAGTTAGCTTTGACAGACAGTGAGGTAGAATGAAATACATATAAATTGAAGTTGTGATAATTTAGGTACCATATTTAATTTGGTACTTTCAACAAGCCATGACTTCATTTCTCCTTTTGATATAGATCATACCTTGCCAATCAATCTTAGCCAAGTTTTCTCATAAATCCTCCATAGAGAATATACTAAAATGCCAGGGAGGTTTCCCTTCTGCCCTATAAATATGTTTTAGAATACTGATGTACCATCTGAGTTGTCTGTTCTTACTACCTGACAGACCCATATATATTTTATGGTCGTACATATGCTCTGTAATCTCTTTTATGTCACTTTTTTCAAGCACGTTGTCCTTGGTAACATTTTTTTAGCCTACTTGTATCTACCATGCATCACTGCATCACCCTCTGAGTTATTCATAACTTTAATTCTTTTGAGATTAGACTGTTCCCCAATTTGTGGCCATATAGTATTACCAAAAAATATCACTAAGGGAGTGGATTCATGACAGAGTGCAATTTGAAATTACAATTAAATTATTAGGATCATTAAGTCTTAAACAAGAGGCCAAAGACCTTAGGGGTGCATGTAGTGTTTTTGTCATTTCTGCTAATTAAAGGCATGGGCTTTAAAGGAGAAAGATATTTAGGAAATGAAGAGCTAGTTAAGAAGATGGCATCTGAGAATGAGATTTAGGTTTCTGGACCATAGCTTATAATATAGGAATAATAAGCATTTGGTCAAGGATGGCTGGTAAAACTATTTGTCTGGATTGAAACAAATTCTTTGAAAGGGGATTTAAGCTGAAAAGAAAGGACGAAAGGAAAAACTACATCCATCCACCACAATGTAAGAAGAATAGTAGTAGAGATGCCCAGAAATTGACACAAAACAAAATTCAAGAAAGCAAGCAATAAAATCCATGGCCTTAGATGTCTGTACCCAAATGTATAAAATGTGGATAACAAGCAAGGTGGAGCAGAGATCCTAAATCTGGGAGCAAATTTAACCTTATAGGTATCACTGAAACTATGGGATGGTACCCATAACTAGAGTATGACTGGAAAAGTATACCTTATTCAAAGGGAATGGGATAGGTTAAAAAAAAAAGGGGGGAGAAGGGCAATACACACATATGCACATATATCACACATACACATGCATAGATACGTATGCACACAAAGGAATTAGAGGGTAGCTATATGGGGGAGAACATTTGGGTAAAGATTAGTAGGGACAGAAATAAAAGTGGTCGTCATCAGAATATACTATAGAGCAACTAGACAGATAAAGGAAATAGAAGAAGAGTTTAGGAAAAAGATCACAAGTCTATCCTGAAGCATGCTATAGCAGTGATGGGAGCGGTGGTGTCTGAGAGATCCAAAAACTTGCTATAGCTCTCTCTGTCAAAAGCAAGAAAAGCCAGTAATTCCTTGACTTGTCTTTATGATAGCTTCATCCTTCAAAGGCAGAACAACCATAGAGGGAAATTGCTATTCTAGACCTGATTCTGACCAGCCAAGAGGAACTGGTTGTTGAAGTAGAAATCCTGGAAACCTTGGAGAAGTGCTAACTACATCTTAGAAATCGTAATCGAGGAGGGGAAAGCCAGGTCGAGTTTAACACAGCTCCAGATTTTGGAAGAGCAGCTTTCGGAGGGTTCAGAGAAAGGATAGGAGGATCCAGAGGACTAAAATTCTACAGAACTTATCCAGGAAGGACAGAATGCTTTCAAGAATTAAATTCTGAAGACACAAAGAGAAGCAATTCTAACGAGAAGGAAACTGGCAACACGTTTAAAGAGATTAATGGGTACGTAGGGAGCTCCGAAAACAACTTCAATTTTAAAAAGACATGGAACATGAAGATGACAGGGAATACAAACATGTGGCATACTCCTGTAACAAGAGTGATAGGTAGACTAACACTCAGAATGAGCTGAAGCTGAGGAGGAAAATTATGGTCAATGAAAACTGCCCTCAAAGCTATTTTGAAAACCAGGAAGATTGAAGAAGAGACAGGAACAAAGGCCCAGAATTGATGGAATGATGATAAAAGTCAGTAGAGAGAAGACAGAACCACCCAACTCTAATATTGATTCTTTTTTCTCTGCTGAAGATGTAGAAAGATATTTGGATTGCAGAACTGAACAATATGGCAGGTTCAAAGAGCTAATAAAGCTTTAAACTGCACTATCACTTCATGCCTGTATGTGTGTGTGTATATATATATATATAATATATATATATATATATATATACACACATATGCACATGGGTATATGTATGTGTGTATGTATACACGTACACATGTAAGTTTCAGGGTCCCCAAAGATGTAATAGATGTAGTTGCTAAGTCACTGCCAGTGATCTTTGAAAGATTATAGAGAAAAGGAGCTAGTAGGACTGGAGAAAGGCAAATAACCTGATTGTGGAAAACTATAGTTCATTGAGCTTGACTTCAATTCCTGGCAACAGTCTCTCCTACAGATGATTATTGTATAGACTTATTCTTTAGAATATGAATTCAGTTATCAAGAAAGGAACTCTCAGGGGTTTACTAAATTTCTATACTTTTGAGAAGAATTTATTCAATAATAGGCAAGAAACTAAGAGGAAACATTTTCTTGCTTTACATTTTGACATGCATCTACTAGTTTTCTTCCCAGACTACCAGGAATGCATTTGGAGTACAATAATGGAAACATATTTTGCCCTTTGAACTTTACATACAACTATGTTGATAAGGCCAAAGAGAAGAATACTGCCAGAGTTAGTAAAAAGCAAAGAGCAATTAGGTTTAATATTTTAGAATGAATTTTGTGTTTGTCCTTGAAAGACCTGAAGGCAGAAGAATGATGTCCTAAAGTATAAGACCAGAGAATAACATTATGTAGCCTAACTGAAAACAAAAGACCATCTAACAAAATAATTTGGAATCATCAACTCACATGATTAGAGCTGTCAAGTATCTTAGAGATCATCTAATTCAAACTCTTCGTTGAGCTCCAAGGAAATAAAATGACTGGCCCAAGGTCACATGTCTAATAGCAGAGCTAGGACCATAATCCTAGAAGTGCTTTTAGACTTCTATTACCCTAAATTTTATTTTACTTTGGAAAACAGACTCTACCTTTTCTCTCCCTATAGGTTTAAACTGTTTCTAAATAAATTTTTGTATTTTAAGAGTATTGTGTCTTTTGAAATTTTCCACATATTAAGTATGTATATTTGGGCTCCGAGCTGATATTAAAATTACAGATAGACCATTTGAATACTTTTTGCAAACTTTTTTTTCCTCATTCAAATTCTTTTGTTTTCTTGGGATATTATTCTCTCAGACACCTTAAATATTCAGCAACAGTCAGGCTGGGGATTTCTTATTCCAAAGAAACCAGTTGAGAAATTCTGAAAAATAATAACCAAGGGGGGGATATTTTTCTAGTTCTCTCATGGATGATTTAAAGTAGTGAACAAAATATGTTTTTAGAATATATTAAAATGCTCATGCCTCTGCTGCTAAAAAGAAACACTGTAGGACAACTCTGGCTGATAGCTTACGATGGATGTTTTTCTGGTTCTCTTGTGGAAAACGATCTTTGGACTGGAAAGGGCAGAACAACAATGTTTAGGTTGGAAGTTGTTACCCAAGGTAAATAAGGGGATAATAATAAAGCCACATTATAGAGCCCTTGAAAGTTTCCAAAGGACTTTACATTCATTAACTCATTTGATCCTCACAGTAATCCTGTGAGACAGGTGCAATGACTATTATTGTCTCCACTGTAATGATAAGAAAATTGAGGCCTACAGAGATTAAATGACTTGCCTACGTGCATGTAAATGAGTAAGGGTCAGAGTCTGGATTCAAACCCAGGTTTTCCTGACTCCAGCTCCAGAATTCTGTATACTATACCACAATACCCCTGATGAGTTCAGGTCATCTGGCTCATAGTATCAAAAGAACTGGCAGATCTGATTCTTGAGTCACTCTCAGTGATCTTTTATGATGATAAAAACAATAACCTTTATGTTGCACTTTAAGATCCTCACAATAATGCTGAGAGATAGGTGTTACTGTTATTTCTATTTTACAGATGAGGAAAGTGAGGCTAAAAGAGATTGAGTAACTTGCCCATGGTCACACAACCAGTAAGTGTCTAGCACACCAAGATTTGAACTCAGGTCTTCC